CTCGGCATGGGCCCGAGCCCGGGTAACTCAGCCCAGTAGAAACTACTTGGCCAACTTTTTGAATGTTATTAAAAACCCAAATTGGCAATGTGAATTGGCCATATAGGGTATCGGTCCAGGTCGGTGTATCACTTAACCAAATTGGCGTTCACCTGAGAAGATAAGCCAAAAAAAAAAAGAGAAAACAAAAAAATTTGGAAACTAATAAAAAAGTGGAGTTAGATTGGTAGGGTCGTTGTCATAATTGGTTGGTTATGTCAAAGAACCGGCTGGTTCCTAACATACCAAAGTCACAATATATTGACGGAACTAGACCAGTCCCCCAAAAAACCGGTCCAGAGCGAGCGATTCGATCCTCCTGGTATGCTTTTTGTAGAAGCATTACGCGGTCAAAATTAGGCGATTTCTTTCTATGGAATATTGGTGTAAACAATTTGGGGTTGGGTCAAGGTTGTCTCTGACTTAGACCCGACAAAGTTATAGTTGGGCCTGGACCAGACCAGGTTAGTCGGGTCGGATCTAGTTCTAGATAAAATCTCAAGGATTTGTGTACATACCAAAAATGGAATTTAAAAATGATTAATATTTTGGGAAGTTTACAATGAAGTCCAATATTTTGGAGTTTTTTGTTTTTTTTACTCATGTTTCAAAGGTTCAAATCTCGAATTGCTCAAAGCACATAAAGAAAAAACAAAAAAAACAAAAAGGTATATACACTGTTCGAAAGCTGAAGTTGAACTTTCAAACCACCCTTTATAAGGAGCAAGTCAAGTGGCTCGAAGGTGCAACCTTAGAATCACTTACAGTTAAAAATTAAAATTGCAAGCCGTTCAAAGGTTGGACCATCGATGTAACCTTAGGCCACTCTAAACTCAAAAGGAAATACTGTTTGGGGAGTTTGAAGGTCCAAACTTCGAATACTTAATTGTGGCGCATGTAAGGTGGTTCGAAAGTTCAACTTTCAAATCACTCTACAATTAAGTTAATTCGAAACGAATATCCAAACAACCCTTTTTGCAAAAAAAATTCGTTCAAATATTGCATCTTCAATCCGGTTTTCAGGTATGAGATTTGAACCTTCAAACCCACGGTAAAATGAGAATTAAAAAAATTCCTAAAGTTTGGACCTCTCCGTAAATTCCCAAAAATAGACCAATTTTTTTGTAAAATATTTGGGATTCCATTAAATGGTTGGTATTCCAAAGGGATCACATTCAGCTATTTGGTTATCCAACATGGCCTTTGATTAAGACACCTAGAACATGGGCTCAAATATTGTCTGTCAAATTGATTTCTGACCACGACGTTGGGCAGATTATTTAAAAAATAATTGACTGAAATACGCTACTTTAAGGGAGAAAAATAACAACAAAATATTATCTAATTTTTCCTAGTGATTTTTTCCTCTTATCCATTTTGTGCCTTTATTGCAAAGAAAAACCCTCCACATGCTGTTTATGGCTGGGTTTTTTTTTTTTGTGTGTGTATTATATTTATGATCATTAGAAATTTATAGAAAAAGCTATACAATGGAGGAGGTTAGGAGTTAGACGACCCTAAACTCTCTATCTCTCTCTCGCATATTTGAGGTGCCCTGAATTTACACTCTCTAGGACACTATTCTAGTTGAATAACACTTGCATCTCAAATCTCACCAAAAATTGTAGTTTTGGGGTTGAAAAACCTTTCAAATGGATCATCTGAGTATTGACCATTATGAATATAAATATTAAGATTTCAAGCCCTAAAAGTGTAGCTTCTATTACATTATCTAGACATGTGATCATAAATTTGCGAGATCTGTACTATTTTTTGAGATACAAATTTTATAGTGTAATAATCCTAAACTTAAAAAAAAAAAAAAAAAAAAGGGGAAACTTTTAATAAGTGATGGTCCACTTTCAAAAGCTTTTGGTTTAAGTTTTTGCTACGGTCCTTTAGTGGACGTGGGCTTTAAACGTTCAGGTGTAATATAATTGTTACACCTCATGTATGAAGTATAACTTAATAAGATAATATAATAAGGTATCTTAATAATTTAAATAGGAGATGCAATGACTCCCACCCTAGAAAATTTTTGAGATCTTTCTCTCTCTAGTCGAAATGCAGTGAACTCTCTCTCTCTTTAACCGAATTTTTATCGGAAACTCCCTCTCAAATATTTTAGGTAAGTGACTTCATTATCTTGAAAATAGTCCGTTTTTTTTTAAAATGAAATGAAATAATTACTTCTGCTTATTTTCATGAATTTTAGGCGCGATAAATTTTATGCGCAAGCGACGTCATTATTTTGAAAAATAATCTTTTTAATAATATTCTGATAGGTTATCTATGGTAGAAATCTTAAATGCTGTAAATTCTTAGAAAAATAAATTTATTTATTTTTCTTGTCTATTGTTAGAAAAATTTTAGATACTGTAAAATTATTAAAAATAAATGTGATATTTTTGCTTTTAGTAAAATTGTGAGATTTCTTTCTACTGTTTTTTAATATTTGGACATTGTAAATTTCATGTGCAAATGACTGTCTTATTATTTGAAAATTTATATTTTTGCATTTGATTATAGCATTACATATTAGATTGGCAATTAGGCTAAAATGTCTTTACGAACTGCTACCTTTCTAAATTTGAGCCCAAAATATTTGACTGGTTATTTTTGAGATGTTATTGAAAGTGACTGTTATTAATGGTTTCAGTGAAATTCATATTAATAATTTCAGTGATATGATGAGTACATGATATTGCTGTTTCGAATGTTTAAAGAGATTTAGAAATACTTTAAGTATACAAGTGGACTCATTCGGTTCGCCGGTGAGGTATAAGTGGACCTATCCGGTACGTCGGTAGGGATTAAGTGGACTCATCCGGTAGGCCGATGATGTATAAGTGAACCTGCAGGGATTAAGTGGACCTATCTGGGATGTCGATAGGGATTAAGTAGACCCATCAGGACGCTGATGGGGGTATATAGGCGACCTACTTAGGACGTCAGTAGGGTATTTTGTGAAATCTTTTGAATTATGCACTGACGTTAAAATGTTATACGCATTTCAATTATTCGAATTATACTTAATTATGTATTTTTTAAAGTAAAACTATTGATGCATTTCTGTTAATAGATCTCCTTTTTAAAAATATTGATATCTTTCAACCATGATCATTTTTAGGATTATGATGATCACTTACTGAGTAGCTAAACTCATCAAATTATGGTAAACATTTTTTTTCAGGATAACTGTGATTTCATTTTGAGTGCTCATCAGGATCAACTCTGAAAGATATTGTACTTATGCTTAAACTTTATTTTGCTACTTTGTAAGAATTCGCCATTGTAAATTTGTCCTAAAAAGAGATGTATATATGTTTTGACTGTCTTCATAAATCCTAAGCATTACAGAAACCATTATTCACTAAAGTATGTGATTTTCTAGTAGAATAATGCTCATGAAAGAAAGAAGGAAAAGAAAATTTATTTGCTCTATTCTCTTCAATACTATCCGTAGTGCACTTTGTCCTAATTTATGGAGGCTATACTGTTTAATATAGTTGGTCGCATCTTCATGTGAGACACTTCATTCTTTCATAAAACAAAAGGGTAGATGACGAGAAATACCTTAAATTATAGGGAAAAGGTTATATATAGTCAAGGCTGTAACAATCAAATTAGAATTTATCTCAAAAATTTCACTGTAAGACGTTGTTTTGATTCCCAAATATCCTCAAATTGATCTTCTCGACATCACGATGCATGTACATGAGAATAAAAATAGATTTTAATTTTTGAAAATAGTATATTTTGTAATGCATTTTTTGACTTTCAATTTTTAAGATTTTCAAGTTTTAAT